CCTGGTGCCGGACATTTCATTTTTGCCCAAGGTGGTCTCTGAATTCCATCTGCAGTTGGAAGTCTTCCTCCCTGATTTTTACCCTGACCCAAAATCACAGGAAGACAGACTTATGCACATACACCCCGTGTGGGCACTCCAATCACTGCCCAACGTCTATCCAAGTGGATCGTAGGTCTGATAGAACTGTGTTACCTACTGGCGAAACAGCCGTTGCCAGGCCCGGTACGAGCTCATTCCACCAGGGCTGTCGCTACATCCACTGCTTTCCTGAAGGGAGTACAGCTGCAAGACATTTGCAGAGCTGCAACCTGGGCCACGCCTAATACCTTTATCAGGCACTACGCCCTAGACGTCCGCCAGTCCACCAGTGACAGTCTGGGACGTCAGGTTTTATCATCGGCTAAGCAGTAAACACTTGACAGCACCCTCCTCCAGGTAGGCTACTGCTCGCTAATCTCCCATTGGTGTGAAGCACAGAGACCACGAAGAAGATATACAGGTTGCTTACCAGTAACTGGTGATCTTCGAGTGGTCATCTGTGCATTCACACCACCCGCCCTCCTGCCCCGCTGCTGTCTTCTTCTACCTGTTTTCTTAGGAGATTGATACGTGGCGGTTGGTAGGAACTGGCGGGATGTCCGTGCCTGCCCTTCTGGGCATGCTTACTGGGGCTCCTGAGCATGCTCAGTTGGGCCAGGCACGAAAATCCTTTCAAGAGAGTTTGCTAGGCACCGGCAGATCCAGCGCAGGCGCACTAGATCCCATTGGTGTGAATGCACAGATGACCACTCGAAGATCACCAGTTACTGGTAAGCAACCTGTTTTTCTTCCCTCAGCGCTTTTGAAGGGCTGATATAGTAGAGTATCATACTCTAATAGAACATGCAGATGCTCATATGATAAAATCAAAACCATCGAACCTATGATTATGGAGTGCCCTATCTTCAACAAGTTGAGGGCTAATTTAGTCACCCTTTTACTTAAAAATACAAAATTGCTAAATTTGCAAGCCCAGGTGTCATGGTGACTATCAGATACTAAAGATCTTGTCACCATCTCAGTGGCAAAATTCATAGGTGCAATAATCCAATATAAGATAAATAATACTGAGTAAGGTCTTTTAAAATAATTTTGGTTTTAACTTCTGCTTAAGGTGATAGCCGTATAAGCAGTACTAGAGAAATAGAGCCAGCTATGCTGGCAAAGACCCTGATGGAGAAATTTTGTTCATCTGTACACTTTCCTAGTTCTATATCAATATGCTTGTTTTTGTTTTTTTCCATTTTTTGTGCAGTGGATCGTCTGATCAAAGAAAACAGCCACATCTTCACTGACACACAGTGCAAAGTGTGTAGTGCAGTTCTCATCTCTGAGTCACAGAAGCTTGCTCACTATCAGGTATGCTTCAAGCTATGAGCAGCTGCTGAAAACACTAATTATGGAGACCTCCTGATATGCTTTCCTTGGTCTTCTCTTCTCATTTTTCCAGAGTAAGAAACATGCAAACAAAGTTCGGCAGTATATGTCTATCCATGGTGAGGAAGAGCTCAGCCAAAGCAAGAAAATAAAATTGGACACAAAGCAGGTAATGCAGAGCAGGTAAAAAAAGATCCAAGAATCACAAGTAAAAGAATTCCATGCACTAGAAGTCCTGGTATGTACACTACTTGGAATGTGCAGTAATTCTTCAGGGAATTTCTAGTATTTTGCAAGAGTACTCTGAAACACCACCTGTTCTTTTGCGATGAACCTTTAAAACATATATTATCAAATATATTTTACTTAAAATGTCTTTGTCTGGCTCTTAATTTAAACATTCAAGAGGTGCCATTTTAAAATTAAATAAATACCAAGCAAAGCAACAGCATAAAATGAGCTATAAAGCAGAGGCATTGCAAGATCAGACAAATGATGTCATTAGAGCAAAGGAACTGTACATGAACAGTGAATACAATAACAACATAGCTAAAAAGTTACCTGTCATACCTGTCAACAACATAGCTAAAAAGTCAGCCAGAGACCAATAAAACAAAAACAGGCTAAAGCAATTAAGGGCAAAGCCAATCATTTCACTCTCTACAAATGCCCAGGAAGATAAGAACATTCAGCTGATGTTTACTAAAATGTAGTGAATTTGGCACCTGGCAAACAGCTGTGGGAAGGCAAGGCACCATAACAGAAAAGACTGTGTCTCTGGTAGCCAGCCACCTTGAAGGGGGAATGGGGGGGGGGGGACAGAGCAGGTCATCCTAACTAGCAGGCAAAAAATAGATTAAGACAGGTTTTTGAAGGGAGAGAAAATAATAGCTTCAGAAAAATTGGAAATAAATTCGCACAATTGTTAATGTGCGTTTTCATGCTAAATTAATTTGAAAAACTGACAGTTCACTTTTTCAGAGTTTCTGGAAGAACACTGAGAGCCCTGTTTGTAATTCTAGTGCCTACTAGGAAAGCTAACTATATTTTGCTGTATATAATGTATACTACTTGAGTAATTTTACTTTTCCCCTTGCTGTTTTAAACCAGCCCTTTGTGGTAGATTGTTTAAATTCGTTGAGGAGAAATTACAGGCAAAGATTTGCTTTTCATTCACTGTTCCTGTCATTTACTGATCAAGGTGATTTATCATGCCCTTTGGTCTATAATGGCTTTCTTTGGTTAGTTCTCTCTCACCCTGCACAGAAGGGGTGTGTGTACAGAGAGGTATGGTGTGTGAGGTTGAATAAAGGAATTGCAGTACAGCTCCATTTTCTGAACATGGGTCACTTTACTGGTGTATCTTCCTTCTGGCTCTTCAAAATCAGTAAGCCTCTATTCCTTCTTGTAAACAGCAAGGTAGCAATGGAGAAGACAGGAACAAGTGCTGTCCCATCTGTAATATGACCTTTTCCTCACCTGTTATGGCTAACTCCCACTACCTAGGCAAGACCCATGCCAAGAATCTGAAGCTGCATTCTCCTAAAGCAGAAGGTATGATCATTAAGATGCCGAGACTTGTCTCTTGCAGTACTGTGTTTAAAAACAAACAAACAAAGAAAAACCCCTTGGTTAGAATAGTCCAGGGCTCTTTGAAGTAGCTGTGGTCATTAAGGGAGTTCATGATCACTTCAATTGAGAGATAGGCATGCTGGTCTCTTGTGCTTCCTCGATGACCCTAGTATTAACAAACCTAGGCAAACACAGCAAAACTTACAGCAGAGTCCTTTTTTCCTCTTTGTAAGCTTTTGTCAGCTGCAGTCTTGTTTATGTGCACGGGTACATGTGCATGTATGCATGTTGAGAATGTTAAAGTTCTAAGTGCAAACTTCTTGTTATCTTGTTACTTTGATTCTTCTGGTTTGTCTCCAAAATTCTGTCTCTTGATATTTGGATTAATTTTGCAGCTGTTGTTCCTGCTCAGAAACAAGCTGCTAATGCACCTCCCACTACTGTGTCCTCTAATGAAGAGAACCAAAACACTTCTGACCCAAACAAATTCTGCAGTCTCTGCCACGCCATTTTCAATAACCCACTGATGGCGAAACAGCACTATGTAGGCAAGAAACACAAAAAGCAGGAGACCAAACTTAAGCTAATGGCACACTATGGGAGAACCCCTGAGGAACCTGCTGCTTCAACAGGTGAGTGTTTCACAACAAGGCTTCTGTAATAAATAAAGCATATGAATGTTTGAGGTTTGTAAAGCCACAACTAAAGTATGAAGTGTCCTACATCTAATTTGTACTGTTAAAATCATTGATCTTCGTCGTGGTCTCTGTGCAGTCCCACACGTGGGTTGGGCGCCTGCGCACGACTTCGACCAGAGAAACTTTTAGAGCTTTGCCTCAGAAAGCTTTTGGTGGGCTCTCTGCGCATGCCTGGAGCAGGGGAGAGAGCCGCCTCCCACTCAGTTCTTCTTCGACCGCCTGCGTGTTCACACCTCGTTTCTATTGCTTTCTGTATTTGCCTCAGCTAAGTATATTTCTTCGTCTTCCTTCTTCAGTCTTTGTTTCTTTCCAGTCTTATTTCCTCACTACATAAATATATATAATTAACCTTTCTTTCTTCACTTTCGTTCTTCCCCCCCCCTCCCCTATTTGGTGGGTGGGGTGGAGAGTGTATGGGCAGAACTAAGTTTTTAAGAGTGTGTTGGCGTTGCCCATCTAAAAGTCCTTCGAACGACGGTCATCATTTTTGCCTTCTTTGTCTGGGGGAATTCCATAGAGTCGATAGCTGCGTCCATTGCACTAGTTTTACTAAGCAAGCTAAACGTAATAGAGAAGCTCAGCTTAGGGCTGTGCTTTTAGAGGCAGCTCTGTACCCTACCATGGCTTCGGCCGTTTCTCAAAGATCAGATGGGGCCGAAGGCACCAAAGCTAAAACCTAAACGGCCTGAGGATAAGGCTCTGTTGAAATCAAAAGTCAAGTCCTCGACTTCGACTTTGGCTATTGACCCGGTCATCATTACCGGCTTAACGATATCAACTCCTGCTGTGGCTGTTGTACCTAACAAGTCCACTTTACGCCCTCCGACACCACTGCCTACCCTCTCTTCAGCATCTGGCCTTATTCCGCTGGGTCAGTCTACGAGATCGCCTCCCGACTTGTCGTATCACCGGGACTCTGATGTCGATCTCCAACAACTCTGATTCGGGAGACCTAGAACTCTATGTTCCGCACATCGACGATGAGCCTCGGGGCTCGGGTTCTTTCCCCCACTGAGGGCCCGAAAGAGTATATGGAACTCGTAACTAGGATGGTCTCTGCGCTTCAGGTCCAGGGTTCCACTGAATCCCTGGCTGTGACCGATGTTGTTCACAAGCTTGTTCAGGCCGACCTCCTGCCTTCTACAGCCCTGCCTCAGCTGCCGGTCCACCTTTCTGCCCTTAAAGAGTCCTGGGTCCATACCGCTTCGATTCCCCCGGTCTCCAGACGATACGAAGCTCTTTATAAGGTCCAAGAGAACTCGAGGAAGTTTCTCTTTAAGCAGCCTCCACCAAATTCCATGGTGGTACACTCTTCCTCGAAATCGAAGCAATCTGCCCACCACTGTGCGCCTCCCGACCGCAAGGTCGCAAGGTCGATGTTATCGCGAAGAAGATGTACTCCTTCGCTTCTATGAATGTTTGTATTGAGACCTACCTGTCATATCTGTTGGCTTATGCTTTTAATGTGGCTAATGCAATACGTCCCGTCTTGGAGTTTGTTCCAGAGGAACACCGTCCCACGTTGTCGGGGGCTCTATCGGAAATTTGTACGATCTCCAAACAGCAAATTAATTCAGTCCGCCATGCCGTCACTTGCTCCTCAAAGGTCCTTGTCTCCTCCATCACCCTCCGTTGCCACGCTTGGCTAAGAGGTACCTCTTTACAGCCCGATATGAAATTTCAGATTGAGGACCTCCCGTTGATGGCGAAGGTCTCTTCCACTCTACCACTGACGAGGCCTTGAAGGCCGTGGATGATAGTCGGAAGCAGGCTCGGAACCTGGGAGTCTCAACCTCGACGTCTCAACGTCGGTACCATTCCTGGAAACCATATTATGCCAGACGCCAGCCGTCTCCCGCCCCCACCTCCCAATGGAGAAAGAGGCCCTATGACTCCCGTTACCCGAATAGGGTGCGCCAACAGGCCCCTAAAAAACCCAAGCAGCCCAAGCAGTCCGTTTGACCGCTTCAATCGCCTGCCGTCTCCTCCATCGTACACCCCTCCCATCCGGACCCGACTCTTCCCTTTTCTGCCAATGTGGGAAGACATTTCCACCGATTCCTGGGTCCTCACCATCCTATGGGTTGGGTACGCCATAGAGTTTGTTTCGCCTCCCAACCTACCTCATTTTGTCGTAAAAAACCCCCCCCCCGGATCCTCTTCTCCATTTCGAAATTTCTGCACTTCTGGCCAGGGGCGCCATCAAAGTCGTCCCGGAGGTGCAATGAACCCTAGGCTTCTACTCCAAGTATTTCCTTGTACTGAAGAGGGATGGCAGCTTCAGGGCCATTATGGATCTTCAGGATTTGAATCAATTAGATGCCACAAGTTCCGAATGGTCACCCTACAATCTATTCTTCCACTGATTCCCAAGGCTGCATGGCTCACCTCTGTCGATCTCCTGAATCTGTATTTTCATGTTACTATCCATCCCCAGCATCGAAAGTTCCTGCGTTTCGCTGTTGGCAACGCACACTACCAATACCGAGTTCTTCCGTTTGGATTCTGCACTGCCCCGAGGGTTTTTACCAAGCTGATGGCTGTGGTGGCTGCAGACCTCCATCGTTGTGGGATTGCCCTGTATCCCTATATCAATGACTTCCTTCTCGTCGCCGCCACCCAAGACCAGCTCCTCATAGATGTCCAAATGACCCTGTCTCTCCTTCATGCCCGCGGGCTTTGTGTAAACCTACCCAAGTTGTCACTCTGACCTGTCCAGGTCCTTCAATTTCTGGGTGCCCGTCTTGATACGAACCTCGATATCGCGTTACTCCCGAACTCAAGGGCCTCTCACATACTCGCCTTGGTCTCGCAGTTCCAGACCTCTCCCTGGCAGACTGCTTGGTTCGTCATGAGGCTCCTGAAGCACTTTGTGTCTACTGTCTTCATCGTCTGTCATGCCAGGTTGAGGATGCGTCCCCTCCAACTGTGGCTTCTCTGTACCTTTGACCCTCTCCACAGTCCGTGGCACAAAATTCTGTCGATCCCACCCTTTGTCATCGACTCCCTCGCCTGATGGTCTCATCCTCAGCACTTGCTCTCCGGCATGCTCTTTCAGCATCCTCCTCCGCAAGTGTCGATCTCCACTGACGCATGCCTCTGGGGTTCGGGAGCCCAGTGCAGAATCCTTTCGGAAGGGGACCTGGTCTCGTCGCAAGGCCACCCTTCATATCAATATCCTGGAGCTGTGTGCGGTTCATCTCGCTCTCCGCTCTTTCCTCCCGGTGCTTCGGATTCCCTCCGACAACACCACCACCGTTTACTACATAAACAATCAGGTCGGGACTGCCTCCCTTCGTCTTTGCCAGTCAGCCATCGGTTCTGGCGCTGGTGCATCCGCCATTCCATCACGCTTTCCGCGATACACATTCTGGGCGTTCAAAACATAGATGCTGATCAATTGAGCCGCTCCTGCTTGTCGGACAACAAATGGTCCATCCACCTTCGATACCTGAAACCTGTCTTTCTCGAGTTCGGTGTCACCTTTTTTTCAGCCACGGTTCACCATCTGCTCAGTCGCTGGGAAATGCCTTTCTCCACACCTGGAAGGGAACCCTATTCTACTTCTTCCCTCTGTTCCCCTTGATCTCCCGGGTCGTTCAGAAGATTGTGGCCGATGCCACGTCGTGCATCCTTGTCACTCCATGGTGGCCGCGCCAAGTCTGGTTTCCGCACCTCCTTCATCTCTCCAACCGGACATTCTGGCCTCTGCCTGTCGTCCCCGATCTCCTCTCTCGGGCTCGAGGAAGGATCCTCCACCCCAATCCGGGTTTCTTCCGATTAACTGCCTGGAAGATCCTGCACTAGACTTCCTGCCTGAAGTGTCTGAAGTCCTCCTGAATGCCAGGAAACCCTCTACCTGTAACCACTTACTGTTTGAAGTGGAAGAGGTTCCAGTCGTATGCCTCTGATCACTCCTTCGATCCCGTCCAGTCGTCTCTCCGTGAGATTTTTTCGTACGTTGTCTCCTTAAAAAATAATGCCCTTGCATACTCGTCTTTAAAGGTCCATTTAGCGGCCATCTCCGCCTACCATCCCTAGATACAAGGATCCACAGTCTTTTCCCACCGTCTTACAAAGTCGTTCCTTAAAGGTCTCCTCCAGCTCTGTCCCCCTAGGATGCCCTTGGTGCCTTTGTTGAGTCTGTCACTCATTCTCACTCAACTTATGTCCAAGCCGTTTGAGCCCATGGCTATGGTCGATCTCAGGTTGCTCTCCTGGAAGACGGCCTTCCTTATAGCAATTACGACGGCACGCAGAGTAGGGGAACTAGCTGCCTTTCGGGCTGATCCCCCCTATACAATTTTTCATAAGGAGAAGGTTGTCCTTAGACCAGATCCTTCTTTCCTGCCTAAAGTCGTTTCTGCTTTTCACCTGTCCCTGTCTTAACTTCTTTCTTTCCGAATCCGACAGATGCACCTCAGAGAGCCCTCCACTGCCTTGATGTGCGCAGAGCACTCTCTTTTTATTTACATAGGACTCAGCCTATACATAAATCTCCTCGGCTGTTCCTTGCCTATGGCCCCCCTCATGTCGGGGAGCCGATTTCCTCTCAACACTTGTCTAAATGGGTGACTTCCACCATAGTCCTTTGCTATGAGTTTGCACGTGAACCCATCCCTACCTGTGTCACTGCCCATTCTACACGGGCGGTATCGACATCCACCACTTTCCTGGCTGGTGTTCCGTTGGAGGATGTCTGTGCAGCTGCTACGTGGTCCTCGGCATCAACCTTCATGACCCACTACGCTCTCGATGTCCGAGCTCAACGGGATGCTGCATTCGGCCAGTCGGGGCTGCGATCTCTCTTCGTTTGACCCTGCTGCGTCCCCAGGTAGGACCCATGGGTGTTTTTTCTCACTGATGATGCTGTGTCTTAACCAGTATTCTTTGTGTCTTTTGCAGCTGCCAGCTCCCTCCTCCAACTGGTTCAG